ATGAAACAGAAGTATCAAAATATTAAAGGAATGCAAAGAGTGTCTATCCCAAGACAAATCTGTCAACATTCAAGCATTTCAGGATATAATACATGAATGATCATGAACTCCATTGAATGAAGAATTCTAAATTATGCTGAAGACACTGGTGTAAAACTCAATTCTAACAATCAACAGGCTATCAGCTGAAAAGGTTTAACCAATGGATCAACACTGAACACAATCATGCATCTTTGTTAAGAAATTTTGACAAATGGCTGTAAAATGCCCATTGTCTGTGCCCATTGCAAACAAAGGTGATCAAACAGGAGGTGGAAATAATCAGACAGTATCATTAATATTCACAAAGACATTTTTTTCCCCTGAAGATTATTTTAAAAATTGGTTGCTGTACACCAGCCAAGAACTGCCATAAATTCCAGGCAGGTTCAGAACAGGACGTGGAACAAGGGATGTATTCTCAGTTTCAGCAAGCAAGGTTGTGTGGAACCAAGATATATCTTGGTTGAAAACGTAGATTACCAGAAAGATGTTACATATGTTTTACCGATGATGACACTTGATTGTGTAAATCAAAACAAATTATGGATAAGCTTGTGGAAAATGGGATTCCAAGATACTTAATTATGTTCCTGTGGAAGTTGTATGTAAACCCAGAAGCAATTGCTCAAGCAGAGCGAGGGACACATGTAATTTAAAATTAGGAAAAATAATGGCAGAGTTTTATCCTTTCACCATACTTATTCTGTGTGTTGATTGTGGAACCAACCAAGCTGAAATTGTTGACAACCTCAATCTCTTCTCCATCTATCATGGTGCTGCCAATTGGCCCAGTCAGTGGTAAGAATCTTGGTCTTCTTTTTTTTTTTTTAATCTTTGTCTTCTTGAAGTTTAACTTCAATTCATATCAAAGACTGAGTATAGGTTTCACATAAGCACATTCCCATTCTTCTCCATGTTAAATATAATTTGTTGTGAACCACACAGTCAAATGCCTTTGCATAGTTAATGAAACAGAGATGGACATTCCTCTGGTACTTTTTGCTTCCTGCCAAGATAAATCTGACATTGGTGATTATGTCTCTAGTGCCACAACCAATTCTAAACCCAGCTTGTGTTTCTGGTAGTTCCCTGTCAATGTACTGTTCCAATGTACTGTTTTTTGACAATATTTAGCAAGATTTTGCTTGCAAGTGACATTAATGATATTGTTTTATAATTTCCACACTCTTTTGGGTCACCTTTTTTTTGTTGAGTGGGAATAAATATAGATCTCTTTCAGTCAGTTGGTCAGATAGTTGTCCTCCAGATTTCTTGGCACAACTTTGTTAGCACATGCAGGGCAAAATCTGTTGAAATACGTCAGTTGGTATTCCATCAATTTCTGGGGTTTTATTCTCTACCAAGTCCTTCAGATAGCCTGCACTTCCTCCTTCATCACCCTTGCCTCTTGATCTTTTGTTGTTTCTTGAAATTCTTCTGTGTCAGCCAATTCTTTTGGTACAGAGAATCTGCATATTCCTTCCATCTTCTTTTAATGCCTCCTGGACCATTCACTATTCTGCTCATGTTGCTGTTGTTGTTATGTGCCATTGAGCCCCCTGCAACTCATAGTGACCCTATGTACAAAAGCTCTGAACCCTGCTCTATCCTGAGCCAACCTCACTATTTCCAACATACCTACCCCCATTACTCCAGTCACTGAGTCAATCCATCTCATCGAGGGTCTTATCCTCCTGTGTTGTCCCTCCACCCTCCCATGCATAATGCCCCTCTCGAAGGACTGCTTCCTCTTTGCAACATGCCCAAAGTATGTCGGACAGAGCTTCAGAATCCTTGCCTCCAAGGAGTAGCCTGTTTTCACATTCTCCAGAATGAATTTGTTTGTTCTCTTAACAGTCCATGGTATATTCAATACTCTTCTCCAACACCACAGTTCAAAGACCATGGCCTGGATCAGGCGCACCTTACTTACCAGACTGAAATTGCTGCTCTTCGGTACTCTGGAGATGTCCCTGACAGCAGACTTTCCCATTGCAATTCATCTTTTGATTTCCTGGCCGCTGGTTCCAAGAATGTTGATTGTGGAGTCAAGCAAACTCAAGTTGTTAACAGTCTTAATCTTTTCACCATCCATCATGATGCTACCAATTGGCCAAGTGGTAAAAATCTTTGTTTTCTTGATGTTGAACTTCAATCCATAGGGAAGGCTGCAGTCCTTGACCCTCTGGAGCAAATGCTTCTGGTTCACCTCAATTTCAGCATGCAGGGTTGTGTCATCTGCATAATACAGGTTATTGATGAGTCTTCCTCCAATCCTGATGCCATATTCCTTCTCATAGAGCCCAGCCTCCCAGATGATCTGTTCTGCATATAGGTACATGTTGTTGTTGTTGTTGTTATGTGCCGTCGAGTCGCCTGCGACTCATAGCGACCCTATGTACAACAGCCCTAAACTCCGCTCTGTCCTGCGTCAATCGCACTGTCTCTGACACTCCCATCCCAATTATCCCAATCACTGAATCAGTCCACCTCATAGAGGGCCTTCCTCTCCTGCGCCGTCCCTCCACCCTCCCAAGCATGATGTCCCTCTTTAAGGACCGGTCTCTCCTCACAACATGTCCAAAGTATGTTAGACGGAGCCTCAGAATCCTTGCCTCCAAGGAGCCACCCGGTTTAACCCTCTCCAGGACAAATCTGTTTGTTTTCCTAGCATTCCACGGTATTCTCAATACTCTTCTCCAGCACCACAGCTCAAAGGCATCAATTCTCCTTCTATCCTCCTTGGTCATTGTCCAACTCTCTGATGCATAACAGGTGATTGCGAAGACCATGGCCTGTATCAGATGCACCTTAGTCTCCAAAGAGACACCATTGCTCTTCAGCACTTTGGAGAGGTCCCTAACAGCAGACTTTCCCATTGCAATGCGCCTCCTTAAATATTGCAATTCACGGTTTGAATTTTTTTTTGTTGTTGTTGTTACTTCAGCTTAAGAAATGTTGAGCAAGTTCAGCTCTTTTGCTTTTGGGGCTCCAGCTGCTTGCACATTTCATTATTATACTTTGCTTTGTCTTCTCAAGCTGCCCTTTGAAATCTTCTATTCAGCTCCACAATCAACAGTCTTGGCACAGGCAGCCAGGAAATAAAAAGACTAATTGCACTGGGAAAATCTGCTGTCAGGGACCTCTTCAGAATACTGAGAAGCAACGATATCAGTCTAGAGACTTGCTTTGTATCAGAGAGCTGGACAATCACTTCAGATGACAGAAGATTTGATGCCTTTGAGCTGTGATGCTGGAGAAGAGTCTCAAACATACTATGCACTGTCAAGAAAACAAATTGGTCTATTTTGCAGAGGGTAAAACCAAGTTTCTCCTTGGATTTTAAAGCTCCACCTCATATACTCTGGGCATGTGTAGAGAAGGACATCATGCTCAGATGGGTGGAGGAACAGTGCAAGAAAGGAAGATCCCGGATGAGATGGATTGATACAATAAATGGGGCAAAAAGTTATGTGTATTGGAGTCAGTGAGACTGGCTCAGGATGGCCGGCTTCAGAGCTATTGTACATAAGGTTGCTATGAGTCACAGGCAACTTGACGGAGCATAAAAACAGCATTCTAATATGAGAAACTGACTAAATGTAGATGAATGCAGCATGAGTATTGGAGGAAGACTTCATGACAATTTGAAAGATGCTAAAAATATTACACAACCTTAAGCCCTCAGTCTGACATACTTTGGACATGTTGTAAGGAGAGACAGTTCCTTGGAGAGGGACATCATGCTTGGTAGGGTAGAGGGACAGCACAGGAGGGGAAGACCCTCTATGAGGTGGATTGATTCAGTGACTGGGGTAATCGGGATGGGTGTGTCAGGCAATGCGATTGGCACAGGATAGAGTAGGGTTTAGGGCTGTTGTACATAAGGTCGCCGTGAGTCGCGACACATGACAACAACAACAACAACAACAAGCCCTCAGTATGAATTATACTTCAATATAATGAAAGAAAACTCCTCACTACTTCATAAGGAACATCATGATAGAAATGGGGGACATTTTGGAATTTTTTTTAAAAAAGGTGAATTCAGCGCTTATAAACCATGAATGTAACTTGTAACACAAGTAAAATTAATTTTAAAAAATTAATTAAAAAATTCTCTCCAAGAAAAAAAATTCTCTGAAAGCAGGGAATACCAGAAGGATGCCTTTTTTGACTATGCAAAGGCATTTGACTAAATAGATTACAACAAATAATGGCTAACATTGAGAAGAATCAGGATTCTTGAGTTGTGCTCATGCAAAATCTATACCTAGACCAAGAGGTGGCTGTCCACACACAGCAAGGGAATATTGCATGGTTTAAAATGAAAAAAGGTGTGTCAGGACTGTATCCTTTCTCTACACCTACCTACTCAATCTGTATGCTGCGCCAATCATTCAATAATGTGGACTTTATGAAAGAGAATGTTAACATCAAGGCTGGAGGAAGACTCTCTAGCCCTCAAACGGTGATGTTATTAATTACTTCGTGAGTTCCATCCTTATTTCACAGATAAACCGAAAATCAGAATCAGAATCTAGGGTCACACGACTGAGCGGTTAAGAGTCTGGAGGGACCTGCTGCCCACACCATCTGCACGCCACGCCCGGCTCCCTTAGCTAGATCTACTCAGATCCTGCGCAGACGCCGGAAAGTTACGTCCGGGTTCCCAGACCACTCTCCGGAAGTGCGTCACTTTACCAGGACACAAGATGGCCACCTGGCCTTCTGCTACTACCTTGAACGGAGCGGAAATAGGCACCAACTCGGAAGTTGCCCGGCTCGGGTGAGCCGTTTCGGGAGGCCGAGTGCGGAGGCGGGCGGGTTAGACGGAGGCGGCTGCTGACAGAAACTTCTTTCCAGGTGGTGGCTGCGGCAACTGTGAGTGTGACTGAGAGGCCACGCGGTTGCGTCTTCCTGTTCCGAACCCGCGAAGCGCCAGGGCTGTGCCGGGTATGGACGAGGGGAAGATGGATGAGAATGAATGGGGGTACCACGGTGAAGGCAACAAGAGCTTGGTGGTCGCTCACGCACAGGTGAGACAACGTTCAGTGGGGTTGTGGGCTCCTTCGCGCGGGTGGCCCTGGGTTCGCCCCCCTCTTTAGTGCCTCCCCATTTCCCCAGTGCCCACCTCCGAGAGGCCTCTGTCGGCCTCCTCCCCGGCGTCTGGTCGGCTTGTGTCCCCACATCATTGCCTCCCCTGCCTTCTCCAGCATCTCTCCACGGTGCTAGCCTCTGGCCCTCAGCGCTGACTCGCGGGCTGCTGGGGCTGCTCTGGGGAGAGGCTGAGTCAGAAAGCCAGGTGCTCACGGCGGTGAGATGCTGGAGTAATTCTATGGTTTCCTAGAATTTCAGTGTGCGAAAGAGCTTCCACAGCTGCATGCCCAGGCGCGAGCAGTGACGATCCCCGAGAAGGTGGCTCGAGGAAGGGAATCTTCGTTAGTGTGAGAGGGCCCAATCACTTGATGTCATGTGGGGGTTAAAAATAAAAGATTGAGAGTCAGGAAACCCTGAGGGGAGGGATTAAGGAGCAAGTGATTTTGAGTCAGAAATTCTACAGGATAGTTCTTTCAATCCTAAAGAATTGCTGTGAGTTGAACTCCAGTGAACAGCAGTGTTGCAAAGTCTATTGCATAATCTGTATCGTGTTAAGCTTGATAGACAAATGGCTAAGCAGCCTCTTTATTAACCGTGTGGAGCCACCCCCATGCCTGGTGATCTGCTTCTGAGAAGCCCATGCTGCAGTTCTGCGCTGGCTGTGTGCTGCCTCCGTGAACTGCAGTTTTCTGAAGAAACTTAGCAGCTATATTGTAGGGCAAAATTCCAGTTAAAGATTGTCTGACAGGATTTAGTTTCAGAATTAGTAGCATAGGATTAGTGATGGAACTTTCTTGGCAGAAAGGCTGGAAAATGAGTTGAGCATAGGGCTAACAAGTTACAGCTATCATTCCCTTAGACTGATGAAGAAAGCAGAGTTGGGAAAAGTCAGGGCATTGGCCCAGTCAGAGAGTTTATAAAGGTACTGGAATTTCACCTCATCCTGCCTGACCCTCTGTCAGCTATGCTGATGGTATTGGGTGGGCCAAACTATAAACTGCTCTTGTTTAAGTGGTGCCCTGTGTATGTGTTTTGCTTTTGCTTTATGGTACCAGTACAGTTGGGAAACTAAAAAACTAATGCTATATACTTTGCTTAAGCTGTAGTTGGATTAGTAATGACATGGATTAGCCTGAAGTTGTCCTCATCTGTACAATCTGCAGGGTTTTATTGTTTCTAAAGCTTGAGTAAAGTAAAGGCTTTTGTAATCAGTATGAGTCCCTTTTGTACTGGTAGACACCCAGGGTTGCATAATAAAGGCCACTACATACAGCCCGCACCCTTGAAAGTGAGATTCCTTCTCCTGTCTTTGGTGAATGTATATTTACCCTGTCATCTGTGCAGGCATCTCTAGGGCATCCTGGAGGTATCCCCTGTTACATGGCTCCAATTGTCTACGGGTTGTTGTTGTTAATGTGCCGTCGAGTATGTACAACAGCCCCAAACCATGCTCTATCCTGTGCCAATCTCATTGCCTCTGACACACCCTCTGACATTCTAGGGGTAGGGAGTGCTTTTTTTCTTTGTCTTTTTTTTTTTTAAACATGCAGGAGTAGACTATCATGAATTTAATGTTACTCATTTTTATTTGAAACACATTTAGATAACAGAAATGGCAAAGGAGGTTGAGTTTTCAAGTATGGAAATACAATGGAAGAGGAACAGTTGTAAGCAGAC